ATCTGTGTAAAACCAGCTTCTGCTCCCCAGCACACTGCGGGCAGCAAACAGAGCTGTGAGCCCCAGGAACCCAAATATCTGTGTAAAACCAGCTTCTGCTCCCCAGCACACTGCGGGCAGCAAACAGAGAGCTGTGAGCCCAAAGAACCCAAATATTTGTGTAAAACCAGCTTCTCCTCCCCAGCACACTGCGGGCAAAGAGAGACCACTGTGAGCCCCAGGAACCCAAACATCTGTGTAAAACCAGCTTCTCCTCCCCAGCACACTGCGGGCAGCAAACAGAGCTGTGAGCCCCAGGAACCCAAATATCTGTGTAAAACCAGCTTCTCCTCCCCAGCACACTGCGGGCAGCAAACAGAGAGCTGTGAGCCCAAAGAACCCAAATATTTGTGTAAAACCAGCTTCTCCTCCCCAGCACACTGTGGGCAAAGAGAGAGCTGTGAGCCCCAGGAACCCAAACATCTGGGTAAAACCAGCTTCTGCTCCCCAGCACACTGCGGGCAAAGAGAGACGACTGTGAGCCCCAAACATCTGCATTCACAGCTTCCAGCTCCTCAGCACACTGCACTGCCCACTGGAAATAAGGCAGCTGGAACTCAGAAATTCACCTCACTGCCCCAGCCAAAGCACAGATGATGAAGAAGAGTAAGGTCATTTACCACAATCAAGAACATGCTGAGCCTGGAACACAGCTTTGCTCAGGCATCAGCTCAGGAGCACAGCCCACCCTACGCCCCACCAGGACAGGTCACTGCACTGCTGCCCTGTGCAGCACAGCTGCTGCCTGCATCTGCTGCCTGTGCCAGGTTGTTTTTCCCTCTTGAAGGAGAACTTGTCTTTATCAAGCACTTCAAGGCATTAGGAACATAATTTAGCATCTCTCCCTAGTCCCGACCTGGAGAATCCTTCAGCTCTGGGTTTATTCACTGCATGAGGAAGATGCCAACTGCACCCTCCCTTACACTCACTCTTCTGCCCAACCCTCAAACCCTTGCAGGATGTCTCACCACCACACTGGCACACACAGATTTAGCGCTCAGCTCAAAAACCCAAAAGGGTCTGCTTCTGCTATTTAAAAACCTCAGCTAAAATCACGAATGATGAAGCAGACAGCTTCACAGCACAAACTCCCCGAGATGACACACACGGTGCTGGGGAGCCAGCTGGGCCTGCTGGGGGTTTAATTTAAAGCAGAATGAGATGTCACAAGTGACTGTCAGCGTCACGTCATGGGGGCTGCTGACAGCCCCAGTGCTCAGCAGCAGGGCGAGGGAGCTGCAGCAGAAAAACCTCAGCAGGGAACAGGGCTGCCTGCAGGAGAACCCAGCCCTGCACAAAGCCAAAAACACCTGGGAGCCAGCACGGGGCTCAGCAGAGCCCAGCCACCCCACGGGAGGTGACAGCACCTGCAAAGCACAGACAGACCCCCTGGCCAAAGAGAGGGTGTTAACACATGGTGAACAAGGTACCTGAATGCACAAAAGCACCGGAGCTCCTCTATTTCAATGTAACCCTTCAGCATTTCCAACTTTTGTAGCTTCTTTTAAAGCCTTTCCCAGCCTGTGACAAAGGCAAGGCCAGGCAGGTCCCTGCAGCTCCCAGGGGCTGAGCAGCACCCTGGGCTCTGTCCCACCCAGCACACCCAAGTTCCTCACTGAACCAGAAAACTTTATTTTCAAAAACAATAGAACTGTGCGACAATTGAAAAATCAGCTTTTCATTCTGTCCAGGTTCCCCCGTTCATTTAACAAAGTGTCCTTGCCACAGATGCTCACAGCCAAGGAGAAGACCTGGCTGGCACCAGGAAGCATTTTGTGATGCTGAACTTAAAATTACACAGTGAATTTAAAATACCCACTAAGAGCAAATGGGGGAAGAGGGGTGAAGGGGAAAGAGGGGTGTTAGACCAGGGTAAGATTTCCTTAGAGTTCAGTTTTCAAATGTTAAAACAGGGAAGACACTGATCACAGTCTATGGTTTGAGGGCACTATCAGGCAGCAGGGCTGCTGAAACACCAGCAGACAGTTCATACTCCACTTTGCCACACTAATCCTCAACCCTACACTTGCTTGCCTTGAAACCCCCCAGAGCAGGTGCCAGAAGTGCCCAATGCCCGTCCCAAGCCAGCTGCCCAGCACAGGCTCAGCCTCTGCAGATTGTGCAGCTCCAGGAGTGCCTGGATCCAGCTCAGCATCCCTCATCCACAGGGCTCATCTCAGGCACTTGGAAAGGTGCAAACAAAGCCCAGCTAGAGAAAGGGTGCTCTGAAGTAAAGCCTGCAAAGACAGAAGGCTTGGGACTAACTGCTGCTTGGGGAAAGGGTGAAACCCAAATTTTGAACAGTTACAACTGGTGAACCTGGAGCAGCAACAACAGCAGAATGGATCCTGCTGCACCAGGAGCAGGACCTGCCCAAAGGCAGCAGCAGCTCTTCCCTTCCTCTGTTTCCCACCCATGTCTGCACACCTGTAACTAAAGAAGGATTTTTATACCATGCCTGTACCTGGGGAGGGGTGCTGACACCACAGCCATGCTCACAGCTCCAGGGGCTGATGCCCAGAGCAGCAGGATCCTCGTGCCCCACACGATGTCCCTGCACCCTGACAGAGCCAGCAGTGACCACCTCCACCCCAGCAGTGACCAGCTCCACGAGCCCCCAGCTGGGCAGGGCTGGCACACAGACCCCAAACTGGGGAATGCCACTGTGCCCAGCCACACCAGCAGCAAAGTGCAACACTTCAAAGCACAAACCAGACCCACAAAGGCTCCCTGATGTACCTGCTGCATTGTGGAGGTGCCAGCCACGGTGTGCCCAAGCTGAGCCCCAGGAGCAGGAGGCACAGCCATCCATCCACGCCACAGCAGTGCCAGGCAGCTGAGACAGATGTCCCCACGCTGGTCCCACCGTGTGCCTGAGCAGGCTCTGGAGCCAGGCGTGCCTGCTGAGCATCCCTGCAGCTCAGGGAGGAAGGAACAGCTTCCCCTGCCCGCTGGCACGGCGCTGGGGAGGAGCAGGGTCAGGGTCTGCCACTCTCACCCTGGCACGGAAACCAGCGAGCTCTGCCTGAGGCACTGCTGGGACAGTGTTCACTAGGATTCCCCAAAACTGTTCACAAGGATCCCCAAAAGCGTTCACCAGGATTCCCCAAAAGCGTTCACAAGGATCCCCAAAAGCGTTCACAAGGATTTCCTGACTACCCATGGGGCGCATGTGAAGCCCCAGAGGAGAACCCAGATCCAGGTGTGGTTTGTGGGCTGACCAAGCCACACGAGTTCAGGACCAGCTCCTAGGGGGGATTTCACCCTCCAATCCCCTCAGTTGTTCACCTGCAGCCTCACCTCACACCGAGTGCAATGCCAGGGTGACAGTGGCACCGTAACCCCATGGTGCATGCCAGCCCTGCCACCACTCACAGCATTCATTCCCATTCCCTCCACGCCCACAGTGTCACAGCTGCCCACAGCTGGAGTCAGAAGGGTCACAGCCCATCCTGCCCAGCCCAGGCTGCAGCAGGAGGGGAGCCTGAGCTCAGAACTCCAGGCTGTCACCCTTTGGAGCAGCCCAGCCCAGCCCTCGTGGGTCATTAATGGATTGCTACCTTAATAACAGCTCTGAACAGGGACTTAGAGGCAGATTTAGGGAATAACTGCCAGGCTTTTGGGAAAATTATAAAATATGCAGATTGGCACGGAGAGGATTTACACGACTTTTTCCAACTGCCTTTCATGAAAAAATTTTAATTCTGATGGAAAAAAAAAAAAGAAAATATTACTTGGATGCAATTGAAGCAGCTGCCTTGCTGCCTGCTGGGGCTCTACACAGCCCACAGTTCACAGTGCTGGAGTGAGCTGGTGCAGGCAAAAGCCAGAGTTTCTCCTGCTGTTTACAGCCAAGGCTGCCAAAAGGATTATTCAAGAAAATAAACAATTGCATTCCCTTCCCTGGCACTTTCTCACCTCCCTGGGCCAGAGGGGTTGGTGTGAGCACTGGGGGAAGCAGAGCTGTCTGTAGGGATCAGCAGTGGGCACAGAGGCAGGGAAGGCACCCTGTGTTCCCCACCAAGCCTGGGGGACCTGGGGATGCAGAGGGTGACCACAGAGCCACTGCTGTACCTGTCCCTGCCACCCAGGGGAGCTCCCTGCAGCTGGCAGGGATCACAGCAGCACCAGGCACCCTGCAGCCACCAGGAACTGCAGGCAGGGAGGGCAGGAGGCGTTTCTGAGCAGGGCCACCATCCTCCTGCACCCCCAAAGATGCAGGAGTCTCCTGCAAGGCCTCAAGCTCCAGTTCAGAGCTCCTGTCCCACTGCCCCAGTGCCTCACCAAGCCTACCAGCGAGCCAATCCCTCAGCAGGGCATCCAAACCAGATTCCTCCTGAAGCCAACAGCCTGAGAGCCAGATAAATCCCAGCAGGTGAAGGTGAGGTGAGGCTGCTCTGCCAGGAGCATCCCCCAAGCTGGCACCTGGCTGCCCAGCATGGCACACAGGGCTGCTGCTGCAGCACCACCCTACTCTGCAGCAAGAAACTCACACAGGAACATGTTCTGGGAAATGCTTTGGTGTAACCCAACCTTCCCATTCTTGCACCTTTTATAAAGCCCACGTTCTGCCAGAAGCAGCAGTTCTGAAATCAAGGCATTATGGGAGATAATGGTTATTTTCTTACATTGCCCAAATTCAGAAAGCCCATCTGTGTGCCAGGGT